TCAAAGCACTAAAATTCCCACCCACCTAACCTAGGATGCCAAAAATTACAAAGCTACGATCCATATCAATTGTGTCAGCTGTCCAGCAAAGTCAAAGGATCTAAATATTACTAATGAACCGATAAAATGTGAAAGGCAAAATGACTAAATTCTCAACGATAAATTATTTTTAAAGTTATTCTTTTCTGTTATCTTTGTTTTCAATTGCTTCACGCTTGAGAGACGGCAATTAGAATTAAAGGGTGAAAATTATGGTTCACATGTGTAATAAATAAATGGGACATAGTTTACATGCATATAAGAAGGTCGCAATTTCGATATTTAAATGACTAAGATAGTCACATTCATTTTTTTAAAAACTTACTTCCCTCTTTTTACAAAGGACACATGGTGTAGATCCACTAACTGGTTTAAGATACGATGGAACCTATAGAATAATTATTTATAATAAAAAAAAGAAATGCGTGTGTAAAAAGGATGGATATAATTAATTATCAAGTTTATCAAGTTTTGTAATCTCTGGTATAATTACGCAAAAAAAAAAACAATGTCCAGGTTTTCAATTCAACAAAATTAAAAATAACACGTATTCGTACAAACAAAAATAGATAAAGAAGAGCAAGATATAAGTTTATTTGATCTCTAAGATTTCATAAAAAAGAAAAAAAATGTTTAACTTACCAATAGTCCATCATTTTCACAGTTCCTGATGAATCGTTTTGCATTCCCAAGGCTTCCATATGATGAGCAGTTTTTACAATGCAATTTGTCATCTTTTTCAGTTTTAACCAAGAATTTAAGGCACCGTAAACACCAACCATGGAAACATTGAGAGAACTTTATAACCGCCTAGACATATTAGAATTAAAGCAAATACGAGCTTTATATTATCATTTACGACCTTTATATTATCATTTTTGTTTGAATGAAGGTTGTCTCTGATATATGATAGCCCGACTTTGTTTGACACATTATTTGAAAGCGGCAACCAAATAGACCAAAAATTTAAATTATCCAGGTTGAGCATCATAATAATTATGTTAATCCTTAATGAATTCAGCACCGAAAAATAAATTTCAGTCTTGCACAGTGTAATGCACATGTATAGAATCCATGATTTTGTACAATTATTTTTTTTTAGCTCACCTGAGCCGAAGGCTCAAGTGAGCTTTTCTGATCAAAATTTGTCCGTCGTCTGTCGTTGTCGTCATTGTTCTTGTCGTAAACTTTTCACATTTTCATCTTCTTCTCAAGAACCACTAGGCTGATTTCAACCAAACTTGCTATAAAGTATCCTTGGGTAAAGGGAATTCAAGTTTGTACAAATGAAGGGCCACGCCCTTTTCCAAGGGGAGATAATTATGAATTCGAGAATAATTAATGGCATTTTAATGGCAAAAATCTTCTCAAGAACCACAGGGCCAGGAAAGATAAAACTCATGTGGAATCATCCTCAGGTAGTGTAGATTCAAGTTTGTTCCAATCGTTATCCCCGGGGGTAGGGTGGGGCCAAAATGGCCGATCAATGTTTTACATAGGAATATATGGGAAAAATCTTTAAAAATCTTCTTCTCAAGAACCACAGGGCCAGGAAAGATAAAACTCATGTGGAATCATCCTCAGGTAGTGTAGATTCAAGTTTATTCAAATCGTTGCCCCCGGGGGTAGGGTGTGGCCAAAATGGCCGATCAATGTTTTACATAGGAATATATAGGAAAAATCTTTAAAAATCTTCTACTCCATAATCACTGGGCCAGGAAAGATGAAACTCATGTGTAATCATCTTCAGGTAGTGTAGATTCAAATTTGTTCAAATCATGACCCCCGGGGCAAGGGTGGGGCCAAAATGGCCGATCAATGTTTTACATAGGAATATATAGGAAAGATCTTTAAAAATCTTCTACTCAACAACCACAGGGCCAGGAAAGATAAACTCATGTGGAATCATCCTCAGGTAGTGTAGATTCAAGGTGTGGGGCCAAAATGGCCATAGATGTTTTACATAGGAAAATATAGGAAAAATCTTTAAAAATCTTCTTCTCAACAACCACAGCGCCAGGAAAGATGAAACTCATGTGGAATCATCCTCAGGTAGTGTAGATTCAAGTTTGTTCAAATCATGACCCTCGGGGGAAGGGTGGGGCCACAATGGCAGATCAAAGTTTTACATAGGAATATATTGGACAAATCTTCCTCTCAAGAACCATTGAGACATGAAAGATGGAACTCCTGTGGAATCATCCTCAGGTAGTGTAGATTCAAGTTCGTTCAAATCATGACCCCCGGGGGTAGGGTGGGGCCTAATGGCCGATCAAAGTTTTACATAGGAATATGTACGAAAAATCAAAATAAGAAAATCCAGTCACACATCAATGTAGATAATCAGGTGGAATCATACTCAGGTAGTGTAGATTCTAGTTTGTTCAAATCATGACCCCTAGGGGGTTCAACTTGAAGCCCCCTCCCCCTCCCCCCTTGAGTAAACTTTCAGTTCTTATCTCATATGTGCTTTTTCCTAGCCAATTGCTCAGGTGAGCGATGTGGCCCCTGGACCTCTTGTTATCTTTTTTTCTTTTACAAATACCAAAACACAGAAATTAGAGTTAACCATTATTATCTATTTAACTAGTAATTTATACCTTTGTTGGACAATAACTGCAATTCAATCTTTCACCATATGATGGACAAAGCAACTGTTAAGACAAATAAAGAACTTTAAGAACATGTATCTTATTTATCTACCCGTTGGATAAATCTATGTTTTACATGTATCCTCGGGTAGATGCTTTATCAATAACACTTCCGGTTTTGACACGATCCCTGGCTTCAAGAATTTATTTTATTGAATCTTTTATTTAGAAAAATTTTGCCCTTATAAAATGAATGATAAATAGCAATTATGTCATTAAAAGCAAAAAAGACTCGTATATGTCGAAGAAGTGTCTTATTTTATCGAGGTGCCTGTATCGGCTACTTGAAGACAGATGTTACCCCTCCCCCCGCCCCTCTTCCTTTAAATCGTTTTCATAGAAATTACATCCTATCAGTTAATTTGTTCCTTTAACATCTTTAACAATGCTTTCTTATATTATACTACGTATGCCTATCAAGTTATATTAATTATGGTGTAACTTAACATGGATCAACAATTAATCTACAAGTAGGACCCTTGCCTTGCCTACCACTGTACAAAGATAAATTTTCACGATCCCTTGATCCTTACACCTTTCAGTAAGCAGTTCGCTTGATGTTAAGCTCCAGCATTTGTCATATAATGTTTTCAAAGACGCATATAACAAAATTTCTAAATTTTGAACACGACCCACTTTCTTTCGAGGCATGTTAACATCAACAGTGCTACGTCATCAAGTTATACGTCATTAATTTGAATTAGAAATTTTTCATGTACTTTCATAGGGAAAGTCTCAATGTTGCGTTAAAACGAAAGTCTTATGTATTGATTGTACATTGTTTTAGCGTCCCTCTCGAAAATTCTTTACTCATATGGAGACGTCACCGTATGCCGGTGAAGGGCTTCAAATTTTGACCTTTACACGGCACTCAAGGCCATTGAGTAGTGAGGGATCTTTATCGTGCCAACGCCTGCCGCTGACACGGGGCCTCGGTTTTGTAGGTCTCATAAGAGGACCCAACTTTCACTTTAAAGTGCCGAGCTCATGGCAAAAAAACAGTTGCTACCCATTTTAACGACTCGGTCAGTAGCGGCCGAGATACGAACTCACGACCTCCCGATCAAGGAGCGAGTGCTCTACCGACTGAGCTACCGTGAACGGTCGAAAGTCTTATGAGATAAATAGAACATTATAATTGTGTGAATTGATATCAATGGGCTTTAAACCACTCGTTGAAAAGGTGTATATTCACTCGCAAGCCTCGCAAATATTCACACCATTTCAACTCTTTGGTTTAAGCCAATATCAAATCAAACAATATAGATATTCTCTATCTATAAAACAAAGTATTCCTAAACATGCATCAAATAGAGGTGATTTTTATACTGGTAAACACGTAGATTATAATGATTGTGAACCAACTTTTATTTATAAGTTTAGATTTTACCAGGATTAATTACTTCGCTACGATGAATTTTTGCGATCAAGCCTATTTCTATCTGTTGTTACATGTAATAGACACAGGGGCATTAATTATAAGGACCAGTTCGTAGCGAGAAATATTCGCGACTACGAGACTCTCGAAAAATTCTCGCACGCAAATAAAAGTGGGTTTACAGTATCTAGTTCCTAGAATATTTTTATGGGAAGGGGCATGATGATCAAGCGTTTAAGAACAAATACGTATCTATTCTTACGTGGCTTATTCTGTCTTTTTCCGTATGTTTACTTATACGTCCTTCTGAAGCATCCCACTTACATGCATCTGAGCAGTCATATGGAGTTTCCGGAATCGTAATCGTGTTTTCATCTTTCTTAGTCAGCTCTGTTTGTACACAAAATCATTCTCAAACTTGACATTATCTTTTTGGTTATTTTAGATAATGTTCATAAGTTAGTACGGATAAACAAACGAATATTTTTCTTACCCTCAAAGTAATTGATATTATTCTGAAATTAAAAAAGAAATAGAGATTAATTATTTTAATGCAGCATTATAATTAAGTTTTCATAATACCTTAAGTATTGCATATATACACATGTACGAGTATATTCTAATTGTAACTAATTAAATAAATACATGTTTTGAACCAGAGATATATTTAAGTTTATTATCAAAGTCGGGATTTAACTAAGTCGCACAGTTTTTTTAAAACAGTGTTTTCAATTGAATTTGGCAAGATTGAAAGTCATTAGGAATTATTTATATCAATAAAAAATCTGCCTTCAGATAAACAGGACACAGTCCTACAAGCCGTCAAGCGCAAGTCCATTCTAGATATCCATATCTCATTCCACAATTGTCACATTATTTTGATCCTGATAATTGGCTTACAGTCTCAAAACAACAATAACCCTTTAAAAAATACTTACCTTCAGAATTCCTTGATCGTCAAGTACGGCTTTCAAACACAGTACAGGAAAACGTTGCGAACAAAGTGAAACGCTACAGGTAGCAAGTCCGTACTCGTTGGAGTTGTCGTACATTTTCATCGTGCAAGGTTTACATGCATTATGATTGCAGACAGTTAGTTCAATAAAAACCTATTTAATAAATTAAAATTTGAGCATAAATTCATATTTTCAAATTCTTATGCTGTACATTAATCGTATTTCGTAATCCTGATATTCTCATGTAAAATTGAATGATGCCCACTTGTTCAATTAGGAAATCACTTTTCCAGTTATTTATGACAGGTGAAAAAAATTTCTTTCAATAAATGCCTTGATATTGTAATTTTCATTATAAAATATTGTAATTTTTTCTGTTTAATGATACGCAATTATTGCAGAGTTAATAACACAAGAGTAATCTTTTTTGGGTTATATAATTTTCGTTCTGAACGGTTGAAACCGTTAAATACTTTTTAACAAACAAGGAAATCATTTTTAGTTCAGCAGAGTTGAAAGCTCAAGTGAGCCTCTCCGGTCTCATTTTATCTTTTGTTCGTCTGTCCATCCATCCGTCTGTCTGTCTGTAAACTTTTCATAATTTTAACTTCTCCGAAACCACTTGGCAAAACTCAATCAAACTTGCCCAAAAACATCATTTCGAGATGGAAATTCTAATTTTTTGTTTAAATGAAAGGTCATATCCTCTTTCAACGGGAGATAATTACGAATTAGTAAAAATTTGGTTGTATGGTTTAAAAATCTTATTCTCAAGAACCAGTGAACTGTAAAAGTTGAAACTTATGTTAACAAGTTTGTTTATACAATGCATCATACCCTCCGGGGGTATAGGGGGAACATAATGGGAAATCAAGGGTTTACAAAGTTTTACATAGAAATTGATACATGTTTTGATTTTTAATATCACAGGGAGATCCCCCCTGCCATTGTTGTATATATGTTAATTGGTGACTCCCATCTTCTAAATGTACATTCTTCAATGATAATCATGTCTTGCTTAGACTTTAGGGAGATCCCGCTGCCATTGTGATATCAGGTGCTCAATAAGTCTCTGTACGTTTTGTCTGGGATCTCCCTAGTAGTAAAGGTAGTTTTACTTGTAATTAGTTGTTATATTGTCATTGATAAATGACAATATTCATCAAACTATGTCATATAGTGTTTTAAGGAAGTAAAAATTCACAAAGCTGCAGGACCAACAGGGAACTGGTTTTCACACATTCTTTACAATACAGGCATTTGTCTAGCATACATGTAAGATAAATGGAGGACATGAAAACCTTTAAAATTTTTCTTCTCGAGAACTGCAAAGCCATATGAGTGGCGAGACAATTATGGAAGCAGCATCCTTATTTAGTGGAGATTCATGTTGTTCATATCATGACGCTTGGAGTAAGGTTGATCCATAATGATTTTTTTACATAAAAATATATCAGAAAAAAATCTTGAAAATCTTCTTCTGAAGAACAGCAAATCCATGATTTGTGACACTAATATGGAATCATCCTTAGACAGTGTAGCTTTCAATTTGTTCAGTCGCAATCCCCGTAGGTACGGTTGGACCATATTGGGTTATCAAGGTTTTGCATATAAATATATAGGAAAAAATGTTTAAAAATATTATCAAGAACAGCGAAGTCATGATTGGTGATATCAATTTGGAAGCATTTCTTTTAGTGTGGATTAAAGTTTGTTCATATCGTAACCATTGGGTAATAGCTATAGAAAAGGATCATAAAACCTGTATATTTGATATGTGCAGCATTATATATTTCATTTGAAAATTAAATGCTCTTCCAATGCAAGGCTTCTCTTGATCATTATCCTTTCAAACTCACCTCCTCCGAGTCACAAGATGAACAGTTTCCTTTTCCTTTTGGAATTTGTAGGTACATTGCTACCTGATGAAAAGTTAGTATATATGATTTTTAAAAAAATTAAATGACCTGAATAAAAAGAAATCTTGTAACTATTCACATCTTTTAAAATCTGATTTCCTCACCTTATAACGTACGGGGTATTCAAAAGAATTCAAAATTAGGAAATAACTATCTTCTTATTGGATATTTGCGACCGTTATTGCTGATTTAATCGTAGCAAACCAGCTTTACCGGCGACGCGTAAGCGTTAAATAAAGTACGTCACAGAGCATTGTATTTTTGTGTCGCACTATTACGGCGTCACGATGAAAAGCTTTTAACCTCGTCACATGTAATGCTCGTTTTACCTCTTCAAACACCAGTGCATTAGCCAATCAAAACGTGTTTTACAAAAAATTGCATTAAAATTTACATTATTGTTTCAAACAAAAAAAAAGTTCTATAAGAATTTTGTTTTTATTTAAACATATTCTTTTTAAAAGTCAATCTCTGATTGTTGTATTTATTCAAAGGCATATTTTATTTTACATTAATCTCTGATTGTTGGTTTCACATAATTTTCATTGTATTTCTATTTTTTCCAGTACTCTTGAGAGGTAAAGAAATAATATGCAACGTACACTCTAAAAAATTAAACAGCTTTTATAGCCAATGTCGTGAAGTTACGTAATAGAATCAACATTTGACATTTATATTTTAATTTATTGTTCAAAATACCAAACTTAAATTTAGTATTCGACGAAACAAATTTTCATAAGGGATGTTGAAACTACAAAGGAAAGGTTTGGTACACTGTAGCAGTTACATGTATCTTATTTGAGAGCTGGATTTACCAGTATGAATAAATTTACTATCATTATTATTAATATATATACCTTAAAACAGATCTAAAAATATATAAATTCGGATATTCTTATACATTTTTTGATGATCTTTTTTTCAAATAAACTGTTGAATGGTGAATGATCAGCCAGATACTCAAAGGAATGAATGAAAGTGTATCAAAAGAAACAAAATACATACAGCAATTGGATCTCCTTTTATTGCCATGTGCATAGCTTTGAGGCACACGGTAGGAATTTCCTTGTCACAAAAAGATTGGTAGCACTTTTTCATCTCCATTGGCAGGTCGAGATACCTTGCTTGTCTTGTATTTTCAGCTTCCAGGATGTACTTTTCAAAGCAGGAGACGCATATTTTGTGATCACAGTGCCTTATTATAACTGAAACCTTTTAAAATAGAAATACATTACATAAAAACTTGTTTTCTTTTAATTGTACTCAAAATGAAAATCACCTCATTCATGACTTAATCTGAAGGGATTACGTTTTTTGTTTTTTTATTTGGGTCTGGGGGCATTTTCTCGTAACCCTAAGGTTCAAAATTGAATAAAAATAAAAAAAATTATAATTTAAAATAGAAAGTAAGAAAAAAAATACTATTAGTGCATGAAAAATTAGTTCTTTTCAAATTGAAGTCCATAACTATTCATTGTCATAAAATCAAAGAACAAAATCTATATATATAACAGAGAGAGAGAGAGAAAGAGAGTTTTCATAGATTTAATAAATAATATTATATAACTTTGTGAAATCCGGTAATCTAATTGGTCAATACGAAGTACTTATTTTTTAATAATGACCGCTGAAAGCGAATAATGACTCGCACAGACTGCCTGGTTTTCACTTTCGCTTTAACAAACATGGAAGTTCGCAAGTTGTAGGTAAGGAAAATTTAAAACATATAGTGAAGAACTTTGAGACTGATAATACAAAACAATTACTAGGATATTCGTGAATATTTTTCGGGAATAATTAGCACATACCATTTCATGGTTGAGTTCGACCTTTCCACTCAGCCAGCAGAGTTTTGAAGCTGTTTGTAAACGCGATTACGGAGACTAAAGAAAATATAGACAAGTATACCATGCAAGATTGTATTTATTCTTAGAAGACATGGGTATTTATATTTTGTCAGTGCATTTGGTCTGCAAGTGTAAACGAGAGCGATTCTCGATCTGGGGGAGGGGGTACTCTGTGTTATTCGGAGATAGATATCTTGCGTCATTATTATGATATGGGAAATTTATTGCCAAAACAATTTCCTCCGAGTAATATTCAATGAATTCTGAAACATTTACATTCAACTTATTTATGGTTAATACTATCTCTGTAAATAATAGGATGATATACATTGCACTAATAAATTTGGGAAATTATTATTTATAAATATATAATAAATATGGACTCAATGCACAGTCAATATGCATTTATAATGACCCAGAATGACAGATATTGACCTCAGATACATGACGTATATCGACCTCGGGCTAGCGCCCTCGGTCGAAATACTACATGTATCTTCGGTCAATATCTGTCATCCTGGGTCATTATAAATGCATACTGACCTACATTGAGTCCATATTTGTATAATAATAATTGTTACCTTTTTGATAAAGTGGGGATGTTTTTTTTAACCCCACATGTACCGAACTTGTTAGTACCGGATAAAATAAACCAAGAGGTCCAAGGGCTTTAACGGGCATATTACTATGAAACTGTACATCAGTTTTTAAGGATCAGTAGAAGTATTAAACAAAATTAACAAATAGGCGAAGCAATAAAATCGTCAAGGTCGTTATTCCGTCAGAAATCCATGGAGCTGAACGAAATGAAATTTTATCTTTAACATATCATGATATACTCAAATACAAAAAAAAAATCAGCTCAATATCTGTAAGCGTTTGGGAAAAAGTAGAAGAGCAATTGGGACAGACAGACATAAAGACGGATTGACAGACGCAGAGGAAACATATAGTCCCCAAGATAGTCTGATACAAGGGAAAGATACTAATAAGCAATCCCCCTGGAAAGTGTGACTCATGGGCCATGAAATTCACTATCTTTGAAGAGGCACCTTTTTTATCACACAAGTACAAGTAATTATGTACTAAGATTATCGGCTTAATACTCTGGATAAGAGGAGGAGATATTCAAAAATTCATCAAGAGTTCATCCATTTTCAAAATATTTCATTCTTTTGAAAATGTGTACCTCGATCAGGCGACCTCATGAAATGAATGAAACGAATATTTAATTAGCACATGCCGTTTCGTGGTTTACTTCAACATTTCCACTCAGCGAGCAAAGTTAACGCTTTTTATGGAGATGACAAACAAAGACATTCATGCTATATATGGTTGTGTAGATAAATTATCGTAAAAGACAATGATATTAAACAATTTGTTATTACATTTCCTCTGATATTGTGAATGAGTATGTTTCTGAGGAGGGGGTACCGATTGCTATTCACAGTTATTATTATACATGTTCTGTAAGTTAAAAATTTATTTCCGAAACAAGTGCCTGTGGAAAATAGACATTGTAGATATTATATTTTTTTTAATATGACCATAACAATGATACCTCAGTTAAAGGTCAAATAATTTCAGCTTAAATTAAATTATAATCCATGTTTACAGAAAAGAAAATATATACCTCATATTTAAAAGTTGAACATCTAAAACAGTCAGAAAGTGTATCTGGTACTACAAATAGTGTTGCCTAGTAAAAAAAAACAGCACATGTAATGTATAAATATGCAAAATACAATATGCAAATTGAAACAAAAAATGTGTCAATTTATTTATTAGTTACCAGCTGCATGGATGACAGAAGTTGATTCACACGATGGTTTAAACAATCCAAAGGAAAAGAATTCTGACAACCCGTCACAGGACACTTCTGGCATTCATTTTCATTAATATCTACAGATAGTATTTTCTTTGGAACGCATTCCCAACATAAATTGTGGATACAATCTCTAAGTTAGGAGGGCTAAGTTGAGAAATGAGAATCATGAATTAAATGTCAGAAATATATACACATATCATGTAACAATTGATCGGAGTGAATTTTGATTTCTCCAATTTTACGAGGAATAAGTTGTCATTCCGATGACCAACGATATTATTGCTACATGGACAAAAAAGTAATTTCTCTGTTAGAAGCCTTACACGCTCAACTACTCTATCTCTTGCAATAATGCAGACCATTTTGTGCCATTGGCACACAGGGAGGAGGAGGAGTCACCTAAGCAAAAGGATAAGTGCACTTAAGTAATACTTAATTGGTACTTTTATGTACCATTTTACTTCAACATATATTACAAAATCGTTCTCTATTGGTAATAGTGTGATACTAATGGTTATTTCTAATTAAAAAGCATGTTAAGCACCACTTAAACCGGCATGGATTTTAAACAATTGAATATTTTTAAATGCCTATGGATACCCTATAAATCCGAAAAAGTCGTACCGAATCGTTTATGTAAATCAAGGGGAATAGATATTTAAATCGATACTTGAACAATCTGATGGTGGATCATAGTCGGGCGCGTTTACGAAATGATATTTCTTGCGCCAAACCTGTTTTTAAAAACATTGAATGAAGTTGTGTAGTTGCCTGTAGCTAAAATGATTAAACTAAGAAATTGGTACTCTTGCATTTGAAAAATTACAATTATAATAGTTTCATTGAATATGAAATTAAAAAGGAGTGTTATAAGACTAAAGTGGCTTTCAATACCTGTTTCATTGTTTGCATGAAGGTTAAAAATGTTTGACACTTTATGAACGACACTAAGCTCTCTTTACCTCCCGACTGTTCTAAAAAACATTGCATACAAACATACATCTCTAAGAGGCACAACTTTAACTTACTGAAACAAAACCTGCCTAAGTATGTTTTACAGTGAACACTTTTGAGGAATGTTTACCTAGGTAGAACTTATGTGACTATCAGTATTTTAAAAAATTTATTCCACACGTGGGTTCAACATGGGTCATACAGGTAAATAGCTCTCATTTGCTATAGGAAAAACATAGTACTTTTTATACATTTTTTATATTTTAAGTACGAGCCTAATCGTGTGAAAATTTCATACGTTCACACAAGTTTTATAAATGTATTATGCGTCTTTTTTCATTCGCACAAGTTTGCACAACGTTAGACTCATATAGTTAACAAATGCTTTGAAAATGAATGACCGTTCTCGATTTAATATAGAAATTGCAAATGTCGGCTGATCCCTACCAAATTGTATAGTTTTGTTCTTTGTATATTCGTGGATTTCAGCGGTAAAATTTGTTGAATCGTATGGTTCAGATATCAATTAATGATTTGAGATGAAAAAATTTTGCTTAACTTGATTGTTTTTTTTTCCACATTTTACCAGGGCCCATTAGTGCACTAGTTCTTTCTTTTTCTTTAAAAAAAAGGTCATAAGACATTTCTTTACAGAGAGCACACAAATGAAATTACTTTGTATCTTTTTATCTAATTGTAAACATATCCATGATTTTTCCAAGCATATCCAGTCTATTGCTATAGCTACATTCTTGTTTAATTCTAGGTTGATTGTGACTTACCAAATTCGAACAGCTTGTCACCGAGCAATATATTCCTGGGTATGCAAATATTTTCCTACTTGTTTAAAATGCGAAGAGAACATAAATATATATTTATGACTATTGATTTTATATTCGCTACTGAATTAACTTAATTTTGCTACGAAAAATATTATAATATATGTAAAATTAAGTCTAGTTAACAATGAAGTGATATTTCATATTTTATAATAATATATCTTACTCTATGAGTATGAATGGTACAATATAGCATTGCTACACCAACCGTTTCCGAAATGGAATTTTCGTACATTTCCATCAACTCTGAGAGATTGAATTTTACATGACAGTCCTCCAAAATGCAAATGTATTCTTCAGAATGGCTAAGTATTTTTTTCAGGCAAAGGCAACAAATATTATGGTTGCACGGGAATAAACCAAATGTCTAAAAAAGAAACACTGAATTGCAAGTTAAAATCTAAATAAAGAAAGAAACATGTATGTACATATTTTTAAAGTGCAGTTTTTAATTGTCTCTCTCAATTTATTACATTGGAATCAACTTACCTTAATTTGAAAACAACAGATGCAAATATTCTGAAAAATAGGTATTGTACACGTCATTTTATTTAGTTGGATTTACATGTACATGTAATTATAACGAAAACATAAATATGAAATGCAGCTTAACCTTTGCAATTAAAAATTTGTAAACATCAATTTTCTCCATCCATCTTATGCTACATGTAGATAACCAAGTGTTTCCTCTTGTGCTGACACACACCGGGCAGGCAAATGCATTCTGGATTTCATGCTTTTCAAAATTGACAATAACATCCATTGATTTCAGACAGAAACCACAGACGTCATGCATACATCCTGACATTTCGAACCTTGCCTACAGAAAAATTTAGTGAAATTCTGAACAATTTTTGTATACTAAATAAATGAGCAAATTATGTATTCTAGAATAAACTATATAAAATATTTCTCTAAAAGTTACTCTAATAAACAATCGATTGTTTATAATTCTAACTTTCCGTTTGCATCCTTGAACTTCACATCGACTGGAACCACGAATTGAAAGCATTGCTCTTTCTCCATGAATTGGCTGTCCCAACTGTCCATCCTAGAGGATAAAAATGACTTCTTTCGTACAGTTACCTTAACCTGAATGTTTAACGTTTTAACTGAAATATGTCATTTATCAAAGAATATCCTTTCCATCTTAACGAAATCTGAAATATTGTTTTTAAATCTAATTAAGGATAAAAAATACTGAAAATGTATGTTACAGAAATTCTACAAAAGCATATAAGTCAAACACGAAAACAAAAACAAAAAATCATGATAATAAGAAGTCGTACAGTGTAATAAGTTGCTGGCCTACAATATGTGACCCATAAGCATATATTTCTAACCGAAATTCAAGTAAAGAACATTTCTGGGAACTTTGTAAATATTCATGTAGGTTTGGTCATATTTTTTACAAGCATCTGCCTACTTTGACTGACACTTTCATTGCAAAATTGTGAAATTTATCTTCTATCGGCCTCTAGTTTTGTCATTTTAAACAAATTGGCTATCTTGATACATGTACATGTAACACATAACGGCTGCATCTTGAAATCTGTTCTGGATTTATAAGGAAGAGATCTATTATTGGAAAAATAGATCAGATGGTACATGTGTAGCACAGCTTATGTAGTACGCAGATTTTTTGCGGAGGTCCCCCTTCCCTCACATAAAAAACCTTTGCTACAGGCTTATATCAAGCTGTATTTTGATTGCCGTATTATTTTGTGATCCTTGATGCAACAAATGATGAAAACGTTATGAAAGGAAATTCGGATCCGCCAATAAATATGATATTAATACGATATACAGATTAAAAATTGAGAATTGCAAATGATTAGAATAGGGATCTTCCTTAGGCCACAGGGAGTTGTTATGTAAAATTTCATTGCAAAGGCTCAAGGGTTTCTCTAGATATTGCGCGAAAACGAAAGTGTTATAACAGACAGAATTTGCAAATTTATGACCTTGACCTTTGACCCTTTGACCTCAAAATTAAGATGTTTCTGTATTAGTCCATAGGGAGTGGCTATGCAAAATTTCATTGCAAAAGCTCAAAGGGTTCTCGAGATATCGTGTGAAAACGAAGGCGTTACAGACAGATAGAAAGTCGGACGGACGGCTAGACAGACGGACGGACAGACACAAATTAATATCCCCCACTTTTCAAGCGGGGGACAATAAAAAGCCGTCATTAAGACTTCCGAAATTCGTAAAATTGACTTAAGCAAGTCGTAATGTGCAAATATTTTAAATTAAAATTTTTTATATCAATATTACGTTCACTTAACTGATTTACAGTGCATTTAAAGTTACAATAATTTATTTCATATAATTTTGAAATTATATATCAGAGAATGTTTGTCAACAGCTCTTAATTAAATGCGGTCTTTTACTCTTCGCAAAGAGCGAAAGAGTCGCAGGTAGACAGACAGACAGAAAGACAGAGATATCCTTTTTATGTAATAGGATTTTTTTTAAAATTAAGATTAGGGTTTGCTCAATTTCCAATACTTGATATTGCGATTACGATACTTAACTTAATTAGCGGATTTCTTTCAAGATGGATGTAGGAAAAATCCTGGTGGAATACCCTCCTTAACAATCGCTGAACCAGCCTAATTAATTCTTGAGAGGAGCTAATCCTTGATTGTTACATTTTTTACGATATTTTTAACTAAGCGGGCTCCTCTTATTAAATTTTCATTGAAAATCGTGGCATTTTAAAGCTGATAAAATAATCTAAACTTTCCTTATTTGACAATCTACTATTTGGAATTCAATTCTTGGCAATACATTGTACTTTCGGCATGAAATTGTTCAAATCATTCGATTGTCACTACTGTAAACAATGCCATGTGCCCCGGTAATCTCGTGAGATTTGAGCTTTCTCGACTCCCCCGCAAAAGAGCGGTAGTAAGTTAGATAACTGTGAGGTAATCGCGATATTACGTATTAACAACAACTTGGAAACAGTTTACAACTTTTGAGGAACATATCACAGCTCTTGAGGAACAGATCATAACTTTTGAGAAACAGCCCAGTCTTTGTATACTTTTTCTTTGAATGCATCCTTGGAGCTCTTGGACTTGTAATGCTAGAGTAAAGACCAAAGCTGGATATCAATGTTACTGCATCCTTCTTTACTCTACGTTTGTCTCCTGTAAAGAAGGAACTATGTAAATATTACTTTTGTTTTGTATTGAATCATAGCAGAATATAATCAATATTTTCCTAATGAAAACCAAAGAACATACTCGTACCAATCAAGTAGAAAAAAAATAAAAGCTCATAATTTTTTTTGATAATGAAATTTAGAATACATGTATATATAAAATAAAGTTTTATATCAATTACAGTACTTATACCTTTAGCTTGCAAATCAAGATAATATTATAGGGAGATTAACATATCATAAACTCTATTTGTCCTAATTAAAAAAGGAAACTTCCAAAAAAAAAGGAGATAAGGTGCAGATAACTTAATTGATGTCAAGTAGTTTAAAGATATTTGGATTAGATAATTTATATTAAAAAAATTTAAAAAAAAAGATATACCGTATAAGCAGAATTTTTAGCGAGAATTTAATTTTGGAATTATTAGCGAAGGTTCTGAGATCGCTAAAATTAAATACCGCTAAAAATAAACTGTGTTTAATTTGAAATAGCTTCTTTAGTGAGCACTTAAAATCGCTAAAATTACTTCTCCCTAAATGAAAATATCATATTTTAAGGACTACTCGCTAAAATTGTGTCTCGCTAAAATTTCCACTTATATACAGTACTTTTTTACGAGATTCGTATTTTAAACTTTTAAATTTTAAAGTTGTTTTAAATCCTTTGGGATTCATTCTTTTAATTTCTCTTTTCAGTGAAGGGGCATTTCAAAAGTTCTGAGAACAGTTTATAGTAAAATATTAACCTTTTTACGGAAATTATTGAGTTTGAATCATTGGAAAGATTAGAAAAATATACTCATATTGTGACGTTACTTTATAATTTTTATGACGTAATAACTCCGAAAATGAAGTCAGAATATAGAATGTTTTGGATAATGGCCATAAAAATGACGAAACAAAAACAGTTTGATCAAATTAAAATTTTTGTTCATTACTCGGCCGCAAGCTAACGGACACAAATGCCAGTTGGTGGAATGTTTACATAGAATACAGTCTATTCATATGGTGTTCTATTTCAGAGATCTTCTTGTTCTGAAATGGTTTAAGCGAGTGTCAAACATCGCATGATTTTATCGAATCTCGCTCAAAATATTGCGTAAAAAAGACCTAACTGTGTATAAAAGACAAAGTTGACAATCAAAGAAAAATCGTGTTAAAAAAATTTGATGGCATCAATTCGTCAGGTGTTTAAACCAGATTTGTGGGATCGATGAAGGCTCCAGAGAAGTTAAGTTTAGTATGCTCCATGTTTTGTCTTTGTAACTTATAATCCTTTTAAAATTTATTTGTGAATTTTAAATGGAAATTAAAAGGCATTTCAAAAGTTTCAAAACTGTTTAATAAAAAATTTACCGTTTCACGGAAATTACTGAGTTTGATATCATTGTAAAGATCAGGGGCCCGTTTTACAAAAGGACTTACGACTTAAGACCAAATTTAATTTTTCATATAACTTTTTATTTAACAATATTTCAAAAATTATTTCTAACCTTTTAAATGGAATGTGGTAAGATATTTTTACCCAAACAATTTCAAAAAGAATTATTAATTTTGCAAAGTTTTACAATCATCTGAAGTTTTTGGTCTTAGTAGTAAGTTCTTTTGTAAAACCTGTAGGTCCCGTGTCACGGCATGATAAAGAGCCCCAAGACCATAAATTTGAAATTCAGACTTAAGTCAAACTTTTGATTTTGAATACCTTGTTATTTATAAGACATACACATTACCAAGAATTGGTAGGTTTGTATAATATTCCAAGATATAACATACGGTAAACAAAACTGTTGTCTTATTAAAAGCATTTTTAAAGTAATATTGATTTGAGTTTTTGACTTAAGTCTATTCTCAGTTTATGGTCTTGGGGCCTGAATAATATTAACATATTGTGACGTCACTTTGTAATTTTTTTGACGTTTTAAATTTTAAGTTGTTTTAATGCTCTTGGATTCATTCTTTTAATGAAGTGTTTTCGATGAAAGTTTCAACAATGATGGAATTCAATTTTTCTGATATTGATCGATAATCGATAAATATCCAAAAATGTGAAAAAAAAAATGTTTATTCTCACACGATACAAGGGTTGTCCGTAAAGCTCGAAGACAACATTGATAATTACAGGTAAATATTGATAAAATATATGAAACTATTATTTTCATTAAAACCATGTTTCATTTTATCTAAAATTTGTAAGTTTTGAACAAAAACAAAGCACAGATATTTTTTTCAGATACGAAGTCTCACACTCATACCCGGAGCACTTAAACTGTTCAAGTTTCATACGTGAAAGAATATTTAACACAACCTGACTGAGATCCTGCTAATCATCAAACCTCTGTCCACGTATAAACGACTTTATGTACGGAAGTACAGCAAAGTAACGTTACGAAATTCATTTTTAACAGTTCTGCATTATCAGAATGATGGTCTTCCGTCACGCAAATCATACTATAAGCTGTCCCTTCCATATGAAAATCTTCTGTCCCACTTTTAAAAAATTTATTCCTTGTGACATTTGAATTTGTCCTTGGAGTTTGACTTACTTTTTATGATCTTCATCCTTGTTCCTTACTTCTGAACCGTTAGGGCTAAAGCTCCATACTTCACATATGTGTTTTTGTGACAAGACCTCTCTTTGGATACCAGTGACTTGACCTTGAAGATTTCTGTACTTTTTATGAAAAAAAAATTAAACCTTGGCCTACTTTAGAATTTCACAATTGTATTTCCAGTGAAAATAGCCTACTTTTGGTACCAGTATGTTAAATTTACATTTAAGAAAAGTTTAACCTTTGTTATGTTGCCACATATTTGGCGGCATCAGTGTTTCACAAACATATCCTGTTTATTTATTCTTAGTTGATATTTTATATTATCGT